CCTACGGAAGAAGCTCTCTTGATGGAATTGTAGGCACCAGGGGCAAGTCCGCAGGGAAGCTATTTCTGAGCAGGGATTCTTAAGTAGGTAGCTGCCGACTCAGATGCCACCTCCTCTCGCAATGCTAACTCGAGTGGGTTTGTGTTTAAAAACAGACACCCACAGACACACAGACTTCCTCTCTTTTTCTCCCCATTTATTTTGAGCTACTGGAGGGAACTGTATCCTATTTAACTTTGTTCACCAAGTGCCTAGGCACGAAGGCTTAATGAATGTTTGTTCAGTGAAAGAAAGAAATCTCTACTTCCTGGGGAAAGATTGATCCCTAATCATGACTAGAGTCTTCGTGATGGTGAACCTTGGAAAGGACATCTCAAATTGTCTGGGAGGGAAGGAGAGGAGGGATGTCCACGAAACAGTCTATCCACTCATGTATCAATTTATTCAACAAATATTTGCCAGGTCATTGGCCTGGCACTGGGTGCACAACCGTGAATATGACACACGGGGTCCTTGTCTCCATGGAGTTCACAGTCCACAGGAGAGACAGATATGAAGTAGAAATCAGCCAACTAAATGACAAGTTGTAAGTGTGGTGAGGGAAGCAACTGGGTGTTGGAAGAGTGTAAAAGACCAGGTGGCCAGAGAATGTCTCTTGGAGCAGACATCCCAGCTGAAGCCGAAAGGAAGAGATGTGAAGGAGCAAGGAACTTGGTGTCCTTAGAGAATGTGCTAGAAGCCAAAGGATGCAAGGACCATGGCGGGAAATTTGGATTTTATTCCAAGTTAGCCTCCCTCTTCAGGAAAACAGAAACTGAACTTTCTCATCCTGAATGAGTAACCTAGACAAGTACTGACCTGGCACGTAGTTAGTGATCAGTAAATGCCATCCATTATTATACTCACATATAGTACCCAACTAAACTAGCAAGCTGTGGCTGTAATCATGGAACATAGTAACAGAATGCTTCAAACTTGAGAACAAAAAGATACTCATTTACCTGACCAACATCGTTTTCATTTAGCTTTTCCATACAGCTAGTCAAAGACCCCTTACAAAAGGGAAAGCTTCCTTTGTATGGATCCTCTGATACTCAGTATTCCTTTGTTGTAAAACAATGAGAGAACAGCATGGGGGACCATGTCACCAGGACCTTCCTTTTAAAAGTGGAAGAGCTGGATCATTTTCATCTGCTCACATAAACCAGCATAACTTTCTTTGCCACAGGTGGCCATTTCAGAAATGAAACTTACAGCTAATCAGACACTTAGCCACATGCCTTGGTGATTTTAATGATACGATTTGTTGCTATGAGACAGAAACATGTTGTGCGGAAAATAATCTGTTAGAAATCATATGACCTTGATTCAAAAGCTTTTGATTAACAGCACCAACATCCGCTTTCTGGAGGAAAAAAAAAAAGACCCTCTGATTAGAGCTTGGTTGTCCTTTTAAAGCAAATAAAACGTTCTTAGTCACTCATTAATGGGTGTGGGAAGCAAAATGGTCTCAAACATTAAAAACATCTTTTGAGTTACCTTCAGCTCTTCCCTCATGGACGCTTTCAAGGCCATGGGCAAAGTTTCTCCTCTTTTTCCTTGTCTTTTCCCTTCCTGTTCTGGGGAGGGGCATCGCTGATAAAAACCCCCAGGAAGGAAGGACACATTCCAGGGTAACTGCACCCCAGGGAACAGTGTGTACAGGCCCCTCCCCCTGCCACACCTCTCTATCTATGTGTGTGGGAAGGTGGCTTTGTAACGCTTCAGTTTCATCTGTCCATTTACAGGCCATCCCCTGGGTGCCAGGACTGTGTTTACAGACATGGTGGCAAACGGACATGGTCCATGCCTCCATGGAGCTTCTGTTCTGGTAGAGAAGGTAGGCAGGAAGCTGATGGGCAAAACCGTGCTTCCTCACACACACCCATGGCAAGAGCTACAAAGGCAGGGATGAGATGGCGACTTGGGGGAGGCCGGCCATCTCGAACAAGGGATATTTGTGTCGAGTCCCAGATGGCAAGAAGTCAATCTGTGAAGGTCCGGGACAAAAGTGTTCTGGGCTCAGAGGGTGGCAGACTCAGGTCCCCAAAAAAGAGGACAAGCCTGGGGTGTTGATGAAGCTGGAGCTTGGGGAGCAGGTGAGGTCGCAGTAGAAGACAGGACCAGAAAGGCAGGACCTGAGCCCAGCAGGTCGAGGCAGCAGTGGCTGTGATAATGCCACTTCACTCCAGCCTGGGCAACAGAATGCGACTCTGATGCCGAGTTTTCAGTGTGGGGGCTGGGAGGGTTGTCTCTGGGAGGTGGTGTCTACAGCTGGGTTTGTAGATGGTCCCCTCCAGCCTGGGGACTTGATAGCCCCTTTGTCGTTTTCTAGCTGAGAAAAAGACGCAGGAGTAAAGACTGCCCTGGCGCCCTGGAACTCCAGCTGGTGATTTGGGCCCCTGGATCTACCCCGCAGGCCCTGAGAGGCAAGGCCCGCATGGTCCACAGCTCATCCTAGACCAGGCATGTCCAGCCCACAGCCCGCGGGGCCCAGGAGAGCTAGTCATTCGGCCCTACACAGTCTTTTAACATCATGTGTCTTTTAGTGATTTTCATCATGACCCACACGTAGTTCCATTTTTGAAGTTCACAAGCCCACCTTATTCATGACATCACTTTTCAGCAGCACATACATCTGGGAGCAGCTGTTTTCAATTATGAAGCGCAAAGAGAGAAAAATCCAAACAAACATTTCTGATGAGCACCTAGAGAACTCACTAAGAATTGCGACCACTTCCATCCAACCAGACATGGATAGATTAGTTTTACAAAAACAAGGTCAAATTCCCCACTGGTTTTATATTGTTCTCATTTTTCTAAACTTTACAATAAAAATATAAAAGTAAAAGAATAGTAAAAGAATTTTAAAAGAGTATATATTCTGTATATGCACTAATTATCTTATGTAATTTATGTGCAACCCAAGACAATTCCTCTCTGTTCGATGCGTCCCAGGGAAACCAAGAGGTTAGACACCCTGTCCTAGACCATAGGGGACTCTGTGGTTCTGTCTCCCTCTTCTTAGAGCAGCTCCCCAAGTCTCAGTCTCCTCTGCCAGCCAGGTGCTGGAATAGACCCAAGCGATCCCTGCCTTCTCCTCCCCTTCGTTAAGACACAACTGCCTGTCATGAACAGCCTTGAGCACAGCAGGGCAAGCAGCACGGGTCCTGCAGGAGACAGCATGGGTTGGAAGGACGTGGCCAGTTTTGCCAGAGGAAGCCTGACAGGAAGGACCTAGCTGGGGTCATGGGTCAGAGCAGACAATAGCTTGAGTTCAGGGCATCTGACCAGGCTTGAGAGACTGGCTTGGGCACACTGCCAGGGTCACCAGCCAAGTTTCCTGAGTCCAGGCAGCGAGGACCCAGGGGCGGCCACACCAGGGAGTGTGCACGTGAGGCCTCTTCTATTCTGCACTTGAGACCATCGTTTCCCTGAACACGCCCTTGAAAGCTGGCTTCTGCCTGCTCCCCAGGCTATGGACACAAGCTCATCCACCTTCTGTTCCAGCCCACCTTACCCGGGACTTTCTTGCTTACTTGCCAGTTTGATTTTATTGTACATCTGTGTGTATGTCCCACCTACACAGCAAGCAGAATGGATTAGTCCTTTTGTAGTCAGAAAAAGAATCAAGACCAATACATGTCTTTGGTTTTTGGGGGTTTTTTTAGTTGGAGTCTCACCCTGTCACCCAGGCTGGAGTGCTGTGGCATACTCACGGCTACCCTAGCATTGACTTATTGGGCTCCAGCAATCCCTCTGCCTCAGCCTTCCAAGTAGACGGAACTACAGGCGCGCGCTACCACGCCCGGCTCATTTTTGATTTATTGTAGAGATGAGGTCTCGCCAAGTTGCCCAGGCCAGTCTCGAACCATAGACTCAGGCAATCCACTCTCTTCGACTTCCCAAAGTGCTGGGATTACAGGCTGAGCCACTGAGCCTGGCCCATGTTTTTTGTTTTTGTTATTGTTTTTAAAAAACTTGGTTGTCTCTTGTCTGAACAAGCTGCGCCTCCTGGCTCATCCTTCCTCCGTGGGCAGGGGTGGCTGTGTGTTGATCACTGGGAGGCATCGGTGGTTCGCTCCACAGGGCTACCTATGGGGCTCTCTCCAGTTCCTGTGCCTCTAAGATTTCCCAATGCCTTAGCCTGGTCAGGCCTGGACCACGCCCTCAGCACCCTCCTGGGCTCCCCGCTTCTCTCCTCTGGCCTCAGTCCCATCCTTTCACCAGGTCGTGCAGGGTGCCTTTCCTGCTGGGGACCCTTCTGCTTCCAGGCCTGGCTGGGACCCGCTTTCTCCCAGGTCACACATTCACATGTGACTGCCAGCCCTGGCTTTGTTCCGAGCCCTGTGCACCTCAAGCCAACTTGGCTCCAGGTGCACGTGGGCTCTAGCAGGAGAGAACCAAGGAGGCTGGAGGGTGTTGTCCATCGGTTGAGTCGGGTCTTCATTCCTGTACCTCTTCCAAGAGGGCATGGGGTGTGCGTGCATGCGTGCATGTGTGTGTGTGTCTGTGAGAGAGAGAGAGAGAGAAAGGTGAGAGGCGTGATTCCATCTCTGCCGTAGGAGTAATTTCTCCTGGCCTTGGGTTCTGGATACTTGGGGAATGGTGGTGGGAACGCTGGTTTGAGAGAGGTTCTTCATGGCTGGATCATCCTGAGTATCTTATTAAAATAGGAGCCTGTATAGAGTTGTTTTTTTGGTGGTGGTTGTTTACGTTTTTTGTGCTTTCCAATGAGAATGTCAAACTTGTGATCTCACAATGTTTTTATTTTTTTTTTAAAGTGAATTGATTTTATAAAAACTACCACGTAAGAAAAAAATATGGCAGACATCACAGAGGTGCTGCCAGAGACGGGGCCCCTTGGGGGTATCAAGACAAACATCTGCTCTGAGCTGCCCTCTCCTTTCAAAGGAGCTGCAGCTGAACTTCCCTGCTCTCTTTGTTGTATTGACTCGCAGACGGCCATGACTACCTTCAAGCCGCCCACCAGCAAGTGGTCCAGCCGGCCCCGTCGGGGCAGCCCCTACCTGGAGCCAGCGCGAGAGGCCTGCACTCTGTGCAGAGGGTTATTCTCAAGTATCCAAGCCCCTGGGACCAAGAAGAGAAGCCTGCACAAAGATCCTGCTCCTTTGCAGGGTATCCAAGGTATCCTTAAGTATGACAAGGCCAACCTTCAGACATTTTTCGCATGGGAAAGAATAATGTCGGCTGGGTGCAGTGGTTTACAACTGTAAATTGAGCACTTGGGAGGTTGAAGTGGGAGGACTGCTTGAGCCCAGGAATTCAAGACAAGCCTGGGCAACATAGCGAGACCTCATCTCTACAAACAAATTTTAAAATTAGCTGGGTGTGGTGGCTCGTGCCTGTAGTCCCAACTACTTGGGAGGCTGAGGCATAAGAATCACTTGAGCCCAGGAGGTTGAGCCTGCGGTGAGCCGTGATGGTGCCACTGCCCTCCAGCCTGGGTGACAGAGTTAGATTTAGACTCAGAAAAAAAAGAAATACAGAAAGTGGTAATTTGCTCAAAAATTTTATAGAAAGAAAAAAACTCCACAGACAGGCACATACTTGCTTTCCCTCTTACTCTAAAAAGCCCACACAGCCTTGTATTTTCTGTCCAGATTTCTTATTTTCCTAAAATAAAAATCCATGAAGTTTAAATAATGGGATTAAGTAAAATGTAATTTTACAGCAGGAAAAGTACTCTTACAGAAGAAATTTCTAAAATTTCAAGAAAACAGACAAAATGTAAGCATCTTTATAAGTTTGAAGTTGAGTAGGGAAAGGAATAATAATCTTTAAAATAAACTTTTATTTGAAACAATTTTAGATTTACAGAAGAGTTGCAAAGATAATACAGAGTAATTGGCTTTCTACCATCAGTTTGAGCCTGCTGTGGTCTCCTGGATTTATTTTATCATTTTGGGGTAATGAAAAATAAGTTTAGGTAAAGAAGCCAATTCTCCTCTTACTGATAATTTGAAAGAAAACAAATACAGAAAGTTTACTCTGCCATTAATATTATATTGTGTATATTATAAAAATATTATATATTAATATTATATAGTTTTTATATGGAAGTTTTTGAATATTATTAAGGCCTTAACTTTTTTTTTTTTTCGAGTCAGGGTCTCACTCTGTCACCCAGTCTGGATGGCTGTGACATGATCGCAGCTCATTGTAGTCTCAACCTCCTGGGCTTAGGCGATCCTTCCTCCTTTGCCTCCCCAGTAGCTGGGACTACAGGCACACGCCATGAAGTCTGGCTAATTTTTATATTTTTTGTAGAGACAAAGTCTTGCTATAGAGACTGGCTTCCAACTCTTGGACTCAAGTGATCCTCCCACCTTGGCCTCCCAAAGTACTGGGATTACAGGCATGAGCCACTGTGCTCAATCAGCAATCATCTTTTATAACAACTAAACAGCTTTTGGTATGAAATAATTTAATGAAAAAGAATATGGAACTGGATCCCCCATTAGATGCAAATGTATTTTATAGAAGTTATTTTCTTGGCTGAGCTCACACCTTTAATCCCAGCACTTTGGGAGGACAAGGCGGGAGAATGACTTGAGTCTAGAAATTCGAAACCAACCTGAGCACCATAGTAAATCCCTGCCTGCACAAAAAAATTTTTTAATTTGTCAGGTATGGCACACCTGTAGTCCCAGCTACCAGGGAAGCAGAAGCAGGAGGATCATCTGAGCCCAGGAGTTGGAGGCTGCAGTGAGCTGTGATTGCACCACTGCACTCCTGCCTGGGCAATAGAATGAGATGCTGTCGCTAAAATAAAAATAATAATAATAATTTTCAAAAGTATTTTTTCTATATTAATAGAAATATTTTTAAAAACCTTAAACATTTATAGTTTAAAACTATAGTAGAGTTGGGATTCCATGTAATTTGATTTTTAAATCCTGTTACATACAACTTTTGGAAATTCTGATCACTCTTTTGGGTAAAAATAAGAAAAGCATAAATAACAATCTACAAATACTGGGCCCAAACATATCGATTTTGTAGTCAAAACATTTTTAAATGTATAATATGATGCGATGTCAAACATACAACCAACTAACAACATCGCTATACTCTCTACCCAGATTTGTAAAATGTTACCGTATTGCCACATTGGCTTTGGAGTCTTATTTTAAGAAATAAAACATTATAGATTTATTTTCAGTCCCCCTACCAGATAGCCCTCAGTTACAGAAAACAGGAATGATGTAGCTAGGTTCAGCAGAGGGGATTTAAGAGAGGGAACACTGAGGGAGGTTGGAGGACAGAGCTCAAGGCTGGGCCCTGGGGGAGGTCCCAGAGCAACACCACAACGAACAGGCCCACCAGGGAGCTGGTCTCCCCCGGGGACCAGGGGCTAGAGAACCAGAAAGCAGCACTGGAGTAAGGTCTATAGCTGGTGGGGCTGTTCTGGGTCTGCTGGATACACACTGGCCAAAAGTGGCTGGTCACACCCTGCTCCTGGTGCTTGTGAAGCTGGGAAAGGCTTGAGGTTGCTATCCAGGAAAGCCTGCACTCACAGACACCACAGGAGCAGCAGGAACATGGCCACCCATTTGTCCTGCCTTCTCAGTGTCATCTCAGCAGAATGCTCACGTGAATACTGGCAGCCAAGGACCTCATATCCTGTGGTGGAAACTTCTTTAAAGGGTCTTCAAAATCAGATTCCGGGCACGACGGCTCACACCTGTAATCCCAGCACTTTGGGAGGCCAAGGTGGGAGGATCGCTTGAGCCCAGGATCTGACTGGGCAACATAGCAAGACTTTGTCTCTACAAAAAATCAAAAAATTAGCCAGGCATGGTGGCACGCACCTATAGTCCCTGCTACTTGGGACGCTGAAGTGGAAGGATCGCCTGAGCCCAGGAGGCTGAGGCTGCGGTGGGCAGTGATGGTGCCACTGCACTGCAGCCTGGGTGACAGAGGGAGACTTCAACTCAAAAAAAAAAAAGAAAATCAGATTCCCTTTCATATGTCAACAACATAAATACTTCTAAACCTGCATGGCCCGTTTTGATACATAATTAACTGGTATCTATGATGAGTTGAAAGTCACTTCCTTTTTTCTGCATGCCTACACATCAGCCCTCTGTGTCACCTGTCACACTACTTTGTTTTTCTGGTGACCTTGTCTGCCCCGTGCATGAGACTTATTTTTCCAATTAGACGACTCTTGAATGGAGAAATCAGACCCTGCCTCCCTCCAGTGACCCCAGCACAGGCCTCACATGTGGTCGCCAGCTGAACCGCCTCCCGCCTGCAACTCCACGGAGCGTGCTCTCCGTTCTGTCTCAGATAAGAAATGGAGGCAGAGGCTGGAGCATTCATGGTGCCTTCCCAGGGTTCGCCAAGGCCCTCTGTCCCTCGCGGTTTGCCCTTGTGAGAAATGGAAATGGACGGTGACTGTATTCCTTTCCAGGGATCAGCGGCAGGACCAGCTACCTCCCAGAGCCGGAGCCCCTGGGCAGTCCTGGAAGGGTCCCCAGGCTGTGTCCCCAGTTGCTGTACCCAGACCCCCTAGTCACCCTGCAGCCAGAGGAACTCTGAAAACAAGCAACTTGCCCGAGGAACTGCGTAAGTTCTTGGCAGTGGTGTTTCCTCCTCCTCGACAGGACTTGTGTGTTGTGAGTGCCTGATGACAGCTCCCCCATGGTCTCAGATATTTCTCACTGGGGAAGAAAATGTATCTTTTTTTTTTTTTTGCTTTTTACTTAAAAAGTAACCCGCATGTTATACGGATGCGGGTGATGCCGACACCACCAGCGATGCTCACCAACTGCCCACCTCCAGACTTCCTTAAACACATGCTCCAAAAACAAACAGCTCCAGTGCTCCTGAGTGGGCCTGTCACTGGGTGGACTGATTGGACAGTCATGTGGTATTGGACAGGGACCTAGCGTCTCCCTATAAATTAGCAGCAGCCATCAAGAACGAGGTCATTTCCTGGAGGAATGAGCAATCTTGTTTGGAAAAAACGGTCTCATTCTCCACGCTGCTTCACAACCAAATGCAAACTAAGCCTTTTAGTTAAAGAAACATTCGACTAAGCGTCAGGTGATGATTTTTTTTCCACATCTTGCTGCCAGAATCAGAAACATTGAAAATATCACCAAAACGTTCTCATATGAAGGTCAGGGTGGTAAGCTCCAGGAATCTTAAGAAAACAGCCACTACTTGTGAAATTATTCTCTGTTGTGCTTGCTGGAGAAGCTCAGGTGATTTTTTTTTTTTTGAGTCGGAGTCTCACTCTGTCACCCAGGCTGGATTGCAGTGGCATGCTCATGGCCACCGCAGCCTCGACCTACTGGGCTCCAGCGATCCTTCTTCCTCAGCTTTCCAAGTAGGCAGAACTACAGGTGCGCACCACCACACCCAGCTAATTTTTTGATTTATTGTAGAGACGAGGTCTCGCCATGTTGCCCAGGCTGGTCTCAAACCCCTGGACTCAGGCAGTCCTTTCGCCTCCGCCTCCCAAAGTGCTGGGATTACAGGCATGAGTCACTGCACCCGACCAGCTCAGGTGATTCTCATATGCCTTTCTAAATCTGGAAACCTCTTTGAACCCAACTTGAAGTCCTTTGCCTGTTGGAATTTCTTTTAGAAGAGATATGTGCTCTTTAACCATTGACAACTCTGAAAGATTTATACAACAATGATCCATTGCTGTTTTCATTCAAAATTTTTTAATTTTATTTTTTTAATTTATTGTAGAGATGAGGTCTTGCCAAGTTGTCCAGGCTGGTACTGAACCCCTGGGCTCAGACAGTCCTCTCGCTTCTGCCTCCCAAAGTGCTGGAATTGGCATGAGCCAACATACCTGGTCTATTTTTATTTTTGAATCAAAGTCTCACTTTGTTGCCCCAGCTGGAGTGCAGTGACACAATCATGGCTCACCACAACCTCGATCTGTTGGGTTCAAGCGATCCTTCTGCCTCAGCCTCCCGAGTAGCTGGAACTACAGGAGCATGCCACCATTACAAGCCAATCTCATTCAAAAATTTTTATTTCTGAGCCAGGCTCGGTGGCTCAGCCTGTAATCCCGCGCCTTTGGGAGGCTGAGGTG